GGAGGAGAATGATCATCTGCTGAATCTATTCTCAATCAAAGCATCTGCAAAGATTGTACAGGTTCAGAATCCATGTTCATTAATGGGTGCCCTGAGAACACGACATATAAGTCCTGTCACCATATTCAGGGGCGAGCTTGAAATTAGCTTGAAGATGAAGATTAAGGTAACATTGGCTTTATTTGTGATTTTTTTATGGTTTAATTTGTGATTTTCACTCATGCATATGGTTGGGAATTTTGATATATAGTTTCCTGTACTTACAAGTTAATGTTCCATTTTAGTTGTCTTTTTCTATATTCTGCATCTCTTGAAGGTTAGTATATCATGAAATCTGCTTTCAAAGAGATCTAGGTCCTTTCTTGTTCTCACGTGCATCCATAATGTGATCACACATAGACTTTCAGGAGGTTTCTCTTTACAGAGCTTCCTTAAATATTTACTTCTCTTATATATGTTTTGTGTTTCTCTAACAATCCATTATGAATGTATAGGTATGGGTGTACAAAAAGACTGCCGAGGAGAAGTTTCCCACTCTGAAGAAATATTCGGATAAAGCACCTCCAACTGATAAATTTGCGACACATGATGTAAAAGTAGATTATGAATACCAGAGTGTTGAAGATCCTGATAAGGTGGTACCACCTGAACAACGAATTAAGGGTTACCGCTATGGACCTCAAGTGGTTCCAATATCATCAGCTGAATGGGATGCTGTCAAGTTCAAACCTGAGAAGGGTGTGAAGCTTCTGGGATTTGCTGATGCTTCAAATGTGAGGAGGTGAGTTATAAGGTTTAGTTGTTCAGATTTTTTTGAGTATGTCTATCTAATTTCAGAGGTATGAACTGAAACAAGACCTTGCATCTCCATCCTCTTGTACTGTCCTGTGCGTGAATCAAAGGCACTACTATGTGAAAGATGTCAACATCTTCATTGCGGAGCCTGGTGACACAAGGGATACACTTGCTGTTTCAGCCTTAGCAAGAGCAATGAAGGAAATGAATAAGGTTGCTATTGTGCGTTGTGTTTGGAGGCAAGGACAGCAAAATGTTGCGGTGGGGGTTTTGACACCTAACATATCAGAGAATGATAATACGGTAAATGCTTCCTTCCTGTCTTGTTTTCTCACTTTAAGTCTTGGCATCTAACAAGACAGGTGTTGTTGTCTGAGGTTGAGGGAGTTTCCATACAGTTATTAATTAGCTAATGTTTTGCTGACAATATCATAGGTTTCCAATAATTTTTAACAATTTCTCAATGCTTTTCCCCCCTATTTGCTTGCAGGCGGATTCATTTTACTTCAACACACTCCCGTTTATAGAGGATGTACGTGAGTTTCAGTTCCCATCTTTTAGTAATTTTCCTGCTTCATGGCAGCCAAATGATAAGCAGCAGGAAGCAGCGGACGAGCTTGTGAAGATGCTTGACCTAGCACCATCCAGTAAAGACGATGTTCTATTGCCTGAATTCACACCGAATCCTATTTTGGAGGTAGGTACTATTCCAGTAACTTGTACACACTGGCTACTAACTTGACCGTATGAAATGTTACCTCAATCCTATAGGTCTTTTTCTTGTTTTACTCTATCTATGGAGAATACCCCGTAGCAGTCATGTGCATGGTGTGTTGCCTTGAAAAGTTTTACTTCAGTGTTGATATAGCAGAGGGAGCTCTGCTTATTCTAATTTTCTCTTCCTATGTCATCTTCATAAAGGAAATGTTTTGCGCCATCAAGTGAGTGATCAGATGGTAGGCACTTTTTGTGAAGAACACTTAGAAGAACTGTCTTGGCAAATTAAACATAAGGTTACATCAGAATTTGTATCTTCTTGTAGGCCATTGTTATATTTATTCTCCTTTCCCCACAAGCTGAATTTCGTTTGGAACAATCACAAACACTCCAGTTTGTAGAAATCCATATCCAAGCCTTTCCAATCAATCCCCGGCCGTTCAGTGTCGCTATTAGTGCGAGTTGTAAGGAGTCTTGGTCTTGAGTCGTGCAGAGGGGTTATCTCCACAGTTGTTTCAGGCATAATGGCTGCCATTGACTTTCATTTGCTTAGAATGTTAGGAAGTTTAGGATCCATAGGAGTATTAAGTACCTCAGAGTCCTTGGCACGACTAAAACTTGCAGTCCTAGAAGATTTTGAAATAACCCCTGGGGTGTCCGAACGGAGTCAGCTGAAGTCTCAGTTCCTGGAAACTTATTGAAACTTATTTTTTGTATGAACTCTTCAAACTAATGTGCCCTATGGTAGACATCTGAGGGGTCTCTCCCCATTTGTGATATCATTGGAATTTTATATAAACTGAAACTAACGGTAGGGTTTTCTGCCTCCTCTGTTGTTGGACTTGACATGGTATTGTTTTCTCTATATTTCATATCATTGGGCCGCCAGCGGTTCTATAGGTTCCTAGAATTAAAATCAAGAGAAGCTGATGCAGCTGTGCCTCCACTTGATGGAACCCTCAGAAGAATAACTGAACCTGATCCAGAGCTTGTCGCTAAGAACAAATATGTTCTTGATAAGTTCCGTAGCAGCTTTGAAGTGAAAGTTAATCCAAAGGTCTTCATCACCTATGCAGCTAATAAATCCCTGTATTATGAGTTTTTTTTCTTCGTTTCATGGGTGAAAAAGTTGTGTGCTTATTACAACAGCTGAAGAAATCAACACAACGTGTAATGGAGGATAATAAAGCAGGTGGCTCAGATGAGGAGGATGGTCTCTTAGATGCTCCTCCAGAGGCTTTAGCTGTCAGATCATCCGATGACACACATGTTGATGAAATTGGAGACTCGAATCCTGTGCAAGATTTTGAAGCAATGATCTCTCGTAGAGATAGCCCAGATTGGATTGGGAAAGCAATCCAGAAGATGAAAAACAAAATATCAGGGCTACTGCTAAGTCGTCCCTATCAAGAGATTAACAATAGCACAGCATTGGATTGCTTAGAAGCACTCCGTAAAGGTTGTATCATGGAACAGGTACAACTCTGAAGTTATGTTATCTTCTAAACAATGCTGCTTGATAATAACATTGCTTATTATGATTACCATTTCCAGTCTGGAAGCCTGCCCCAATTCAAGTGTTTACGAACTTCTCACTCAACTACTCTTCTCACTGAACAGGAACCTAAACAGTACAATGATTTTCTCAGAGAATGTATTGACGAGAATAAACTAGGAGACCACAACATTTTCAGCCGTTTCTACAGGGATCTTGCATCCAAAGGCCTGACGTTGATTTCCAAGACAGAAGCTCCCGACAGGTTGTAGTTCCTAGTTCTTTTTTCCAGTCTTCTTATTTTCAGTTTTGGGCTGTATTTTTTTTATACAGTAGTTGTAACTCTCCATTTTTCATTGTGGTTCCTGGTTCATCGGTGTATTTACGAAGCAGTGAGGTCCCTGAAGATGAAGCCAGACGATTTCTGCTGAAGGAGCCTAAAGAGGAGTGATAAGAACTAAGAGCTGTTTCTTCTCGCATTGCAGTCTCATAGGTCATTTCATTTGCCAATGTTGTGCATGTACAGACAAATGAATGTTTCGTCAGGCAGTCGGTTTGCTCTTAAAACCGACCCTTGGGTAAATCTTATTTGTAGGCTTTGCCTTGGACTGAATCGGGTAGGCGAATGTGGAAGTGGAACTGGGTTGAAGTTTGTGTAATTTTTCTCCAAAAACGGTAGGATGGTTGAATACATGATAGTAGTAATAGAAGTATATTAACTGTCATTTAAGACTTTTAATATTGTTTACCACAAGATACCATCCCGTACTAGGATGGTATTGTGTGATATTTTTTTGTATTGTATTTTGTTCATTCAGAAATTTTTAGATCCAATGGATCAATATGAACTCGTTCTTTCTGAGCAAAATTTTTCAAAAATGACTTAAAAACGAATAAGATACTATATGGTATGCACTTGGTAATGGGAGACAAGAAATTTTTTTTTTCCAAAAAAAATATTGAAAATGGATATCATTTTGTAGAGCACAATGAACTCGTTCCATCTGTGAAAAAAATTGAAATCCAAATTAAAACGAAGAAGATATGAGCCAATTAAGAAAACAAGAGAAAATAAAAATATTTTTAATTCTCAACATTTATATATGAATTTTCTGAATTAATGGTACAGATTTAGTTAATGATGGGTGCAGAGACGTGCAGTTATGCATACTGGTCTGGTATAGTAATCCACAGCTCAAGATAGGGTGAGTAATTATGAGTAACCAAATCTGGACTCTTCTTTTAAGTGACTGCAGATCTAAAGGTGGAAAATTAAAAAAATTTATTTTCCCTAATTTTCTTGATTGGATCATATTTTATTCATTTTAACTCGGATTTCAATTTTTTTTTTTGCACAAATGGAACTAGTTCCTTGTGCTCTACAAAATGATATCCATTTTCAATATTTTTTGAGGAAATTTTTTTCATATCTTTCGTTACCAACTCCATACCATATGGTATCTCCTTCGTTGTTTGGTCGTTTTCAGAATTTCTTGCACGAAAGGAACTATTTAATCATGATCTATTGGATTTCAAAATTTTCTGGGTGAAAAAATTTCATACTTCTCGTACCATTATACCATACTATACCACCCTGGTATGGGGTGGTATTTTTTATACCATATAGTATGCTGTTATTTAATACCAGTCAATACCATATGGTGGTAATAAATGACATTTTATTTTTCCAAAAAATATCAAAATGTGTATAATTTTGAAGAGAACAATTAATCTGATCTAACTGTGAAAAAAAAATAATTTTGAGTTAAAACGAGCAAGAAATCGTCCGTTAAAGATTAAGAAATGAAAAATTAAAGGTTTTCTAAGAAAAGAGAAGAGACGCTGATGTAACAGATTTTTATTAGATTATGCATTGGGTTACTCACCTGATGATTACTTATGGGATCCGGACCCGTAATCCACGGAAGATGTATAGTTTAGGAAATAATTTGGATTATTCATGGCCCATCAATGAGGCCACGTGGCGAATTCAGACAAAACAGCTGCTTTAGCTGCCAGAATCTCGATAGTTGCTGCCTGATTTCCTCCAGCCTTCTGCTTTCCTTTAATTTCCCGCTCTGAGCTCAATCATACCGATACGCAATTCATCCATGGAAGCAAGCAGAAAGATGCATGACCAGGAACAGAAGGCTGCCGGAACTTGGCCATTGTCGAATCTCGTTCTGTACTCTTTTTGGCAGAGCTCCTGCTCATGGCGAGTTCGCTTTGCACTGAAGCTCAAAGGTTAGATACGCTGACCTTTTCTATTTTTCACTCAGAACAAGGAAGGTGGTTTCTCATTTTTCTGGTCTTGTGGCAGGTCTTCCGTATGAGTACAGAGCAGTGGATCTGGTGAAAGGGGAGCAATTCAGCCCAGGTGAAAGGAATAATACTTTTAGTGAAAAGTTGTTCATCATTTCGACTTCCATGGCAATGTAATTGAGATGATTGGTTTGCAGAATTTCAGCGGTTGAATCCTCTTGGTTATGTTCCGGTTCTGGTGGATGGTGGCGTGGTTGTCTCCGACTCGTTTGCAATATTGATGGTCAGTTAGCAATTAGCAGTATATCACAAGACCCGCTTCGCTTTTGTCCTAGATCCTAGATCGTGAATGAATATGCAACTATGTCTGAACCCTTGAACTTGATTATATTTCCACTTTCGTTGTTGTAGTATTTGGAAGATAAGTATCCACAGAACACCTTGTTGCCAGAGGATCCTCAACTGAGGGCTCTGAATCTCCAGGTAATTGGTTGTTAATGTTGAGATCAACCTGAAAGTTATACAACATTCTCGAGCTCTGACTGCTCCTAAATTCAAGGGGGTTCTATTTGATTCCCGGTGCCCACTACGACACTACGCAATTGGGCACCGCATTGTCAAACAAGATTGAGGAAATCTCCCCATATGACATTTATTGATTTGGTAGCATCATAGGTTGTGGAGGAAACATTCCAAGGCTACATAGTTTTTATTAGGAACTTTGAATTGGTTGCTAATTGTTATATGGTTTATCACCTGATTCTTCCTTCTACGTAGTACTAATCGTTGTGCCGCAGGCTGCAGGTGTTGTCACCTCAAGCATACAGCCTCTTCATATGCAATCACTACTGGTATCCCTTTTTAGCAGCCATCATTTCTCAGCTGGAAAACTGTAGGCTCTTCATCAATGTATATATCTCAACCATCCTAATCTTGATCTTTTTTCAGAAGTACATAGAAGACAAATTTGGTCCAGAAGAACGGTTGTTGTGGGCTAAGACTCATATAGAAAAGGGTTTACTTGGTAGGTATAACTCTTCAATTTAAATGTTTCATCTTGAGCAAGGGAAAAGAAAAAGGTGCATCAACCTGTTGAATGACTCATGACAGCTCTTGAGAAGTTACTGAAAGGCTTTGCTGGTCAATATGCAACTGGAAATTCACTTTACCTGGTAGTATCTCCTGAATCCTTTTCGATATCTTCAGTTTAGGCTTTTCTATATGTACCTGTGACCTCTTGTATGTCTTGAGAAATAATGAGCCATAATTTCTTGTCTCTTGGCAGGCAGATGTGTTTTTAGCACCCCAGATTGCTGTAGCGGTATCCCGATTCAAAATTGACATTGTAAGTAGATTATCATGATTATTTTTGCTATTCAACTGTCTGTTCTACTGGACTGATCCCAGTTCGCAGCTTCTTGGGTAGGAACTAAACCAGCTAGCCTGAGTAGTGTTGAAAAGCTACAACCTTTATGAATGTACCTGATTTCAATTTCCGAGCAGCCTCCAACGAAGGTAGTCATGTGGTTGTCTTTCACTTGGTGTTTGCAGACTCAGTACCCAACGTTGAGCAGAATACATGAATCGTACAAAACGGTGCCAGCATTTTTAGCTTCAATCCCAGAAGCACAAGCGGATGCATCGCATTGAGTTTCTTTCCTGTTTCATTTGGCTATGCATAGGAATGGAATATTAACTGTTGAAGTGTAGACGATGTGACCGGGATCTGTTAAAATTTCTAACCTCAGTACCCGGTCTAGCTCAGTCAGTAGAAAGCAAGGCTCTTAACCTTGTGTAGTTGTGTTTGTGGGTTGGAGGCAGACGATGGCCGATTTTTTTTCCTCGAAACTCAATTACTGTTTATTTTGCTGAAGGCTTCCATGGTCAGATCAGTACCTGTTTCAAGTGGAAAAACGGTTTGTTGGTTCGCTCCTGACTTCTTATGAAGATGACGATTGTTACTACGGTCCACATCTCTTCAAATACTGTTCGAACGAGGGTGTTTAGTGTATGGGGAATCTACGTTACTTTACACTACTCCTATGGAGATTCTTTGAGAGCTCCGCGACTACAACTAAGACTACTACTATGGAGGATCCTTCATGGAAGAGAGCTCCACAAACTACACAGAAAAGAAAAAAAAAAGGACAGTTGAGACAAGTTGTCTTTTTGTTGAGTCGTGATTGTCTGCCTTACTCCAGGATCTTGTTTTAAGTTTTGTTGCCAGGATTTGTCCAACTGCTCTCTCCATCTCTCCTTCTCCCGAAAAGTAGCTCCGCTTAGCCTTTACGCAAGTCAGTTGTCGCCAAAAAGTCTCTGGACACATCACCACATCATCCTATCCTATTTCAACATGGATGGTACCATCTAGCTAGTACTTTGGATGGTATCCATGATATGGATGATCACCATCCAATCAGTCCTTTGGATCAGTCCTTTGGATGTTGTCCATGATATTTGGGATGGTACCATCAACCATAGGGTTGGGATGGTAACTATGATGTGAGATGATCACCATCCACTTAGAGTTTGGATGGTGTCAACTATATGAGGATAGTCACTATCCAATTAGTCCTTTGGATGGTATCCATGATGTTTGGGATGATATCCTTGATCTTGGATGGTACCATCCATCATAGGGTTTGGATGGTATCAATGATGTTGGACACTACCATCCATAATAGGATTTGGATGGTATCCATGATGATGGACACTATCATCCATAATAGGGTTTGGATTGGTATTCATTATGACGGATGGATGGTAACATTGTCGTAGTTGGTACAATCACCATCTTGGATGACTAACGACAAGCTACTACCAGCTAGACAGATGGCCCAACCATCCAATTCGAACCACCGGGTCCATATACGGGCTAACTACTTAAGGTGTCCCAATTATTCATAAATACTACGTGTGATATTTAATAAATTTATTTTGGTGTAAATAAATGCCCTCACAACTTAGTTCATAAGAAATTAAGAAATAAGTTGTTAACATCAACTGCTCCAGGTACCAAACCACATGAATCAAATAGTGGCTTGCACGACACCTCATCACATAAGGAGTCCCCTTCCTTCATGGTCAAGCTACACATGACAGTAATTTATGTCACTACCAATTCTTACTCGGCCAAACACCATTTTTTTTATTCGGCTATGAGAAAGCCAAGCAAATTAATTAATCCTTAAATAGTCAGGCCAAAAAATGTGGCCTTAGTACTACTTTCTCCTTTTCTGATAAGGAGTACAAATTCTTGTTCATGTAGAACACATCTTCTTAACCCATATCCTACTAACAAAAGGAAACTCACTACTATAAGGACACAATCATCCCCTATAAATTGATGCTCCCATTATTCATAATTCACAACTCAAAAATACCAACATACCTCCAATAAGCTGTACCATGCTTAACAAGAGCATCATCCGTCTCATATCTCCATGTCGAGGTAACCCTTTCTCCATTTTTCTCATGCTTGCTGCAATATTTTCATGCATTGACTTATTCAGGACTTGATAATTTCAGTGACCATGGCCAAATTTCTTTGGCCATCAAACCCCAGTGATTTAAACACTCTCTTCAATTTGTCTGTTCATTGTACATGGCCAACTCAGTTGCTACTACTTTCTATGTGCCCAGACCAGTTTTTTTCTCTTTTTCATCAACTTGGGTCCTCTTCTTGTCATGGCCACCACGTAATTGCGTGCCAAGAACCTATGTCGCTAATCTGTTGAGGTTACACATGCACCCACACAAACACTCACCCACGCCATATAGAGCCATGATCTTGATCAAATCAATCACCATCCATAGCTAACGTGGATAGTATCCCTTTTTACCACGTAATCATCCCTCAAAAGGACACTCTTCCCCTCAATCATGGATGGTTACTCAATACTACATTACCCAACTCAATCACCATCCATCCCTACAATGATGGTATCCTTTTATTTGAGCAACACCATCAAAAGCCAATTAGGATGGCTTGATGACCACTTTATTTATTTAGTTTATATTTTATCTATGTTTTTTTTTCATGGCAAGAGTTGTGATGCATCACCAATCGCCATAACCCTTAGTAGTAACTAAGGAGCCAAAGGTATATACCCATTGCCAACTCCATTGATCAAACCACACAAGCCATCCATGTGTCATGTGACTTCCTCCTTTCAAAGGAGGTATACCAACTGGAATGACATTATCTATCTTAATGCCAGAGTGCATTTTCCCAACATGATTTTTGGCACCCTTGCTTACGACCCCATGTCTATCTACTCGAGTTACCCCAACTACCTCATTTGGTTGTTGACATTGACCCCTATAGTTGTGAATTGTTCTATGAGGCACACCATACATTCCCAATTATGTTGGGTTAGATTGGAAATCATGAACACCTCTTTGTCTTGGCTTCTCCCAAAGTGGTTCACATCTACTCTTCACATTACTTAGAGAGGATGTGTACTTAGACTTTACATGTCCACGACCACCTATATGGTTTACTTGTCTTTGTTTCTAAACTCTAAAGTCTTTTTGCCTCCTACACTTAGCACACAACCACCTTTGATCCTTTGCTTTATCATATCTTGTTGGTGCACATTGAGGCTTCTTATGCATGCCACTATGTCCACCATTTTTGGTTGACATCTTACAGCCTTGTCCATCATTTTCTACAATGTTAAATTTATGCAAACCATGAGTGGATTGATCATACTGTAGACTACTTGACCTGCCCCCCAATCCAACTTTTGTGGTTGGTGACATGCCCAGCCTTGTCCATCATTTTATACAATGTTAAATTTATGCAAACCATGAGTGGATTGATCATATTGTAGACTACTTGACCTGCCCCCAATCCAACTTTTGTGGTTGGTGACATGCCCCCCCTCCCAAATCTATTCCTTATCATGCTTTTACCTTTACCCACGTCATGTGTAGGCTGAATTTTTTGCAAGTTTTCTGACATGCCCCCAATCAATCTTTGTTGGTACTTAACATGCCCCCTTGTCCAAACTTTGGGAAACTAACTTTCCCTCTTGCTGGAGACTTTGACAAATTATCCCGTAAAGGATCACAACGAGGTAGGCCAACTTTTTTGGCTTTGAATTTTGGCATGTGGTCACCATCCCAACACTGGGAAGAGTTTTTGGTAACCATTGTTGCAACATCTCCTGACTTGATGGAATGTGATAAAATATTCTTACACCTAGAATATTGCTTTTGTCTTAGCTTGCCAAGAAATGTGATGGCATGTCTCCCTAACAGCTTAACTTGACCATTATTGTCAAGCTCTCCTTTGTGCTTCTCCTTTTCAATGAACTCACAAATGAGTTGTTTAACATATTTTTCACTTTTGATTTTTCTAGAAGCATGTTTACATATACTTCCTTGAAATGGCTTCCGTAAGCAATATCTCTTTTTTGCACCTTTACAAGCAATGATGTCCATTGGAAAGGACACATTTGAATTGTTTGCTTCTTGCAACAGTGTTGGTGCGAAAATTGGGAATGACTCCTTATTGACATTATCTAATCCACGACCATTTTTATCATTGACAGATGTGGCTTCTTTAACATTTTTACCAGTCAAGCACGACAAGTTGGATTCACCAGTACTTTTATCATGACATCGTGGATTGTCCATCGAAATGGCCAGACACCCAACTTTCTCATCAACCAATTATGGTTGACTTCTTAAACCACTAACTTGGTTAGTGCTTACTGTTTCAGTTTTTCATTCAACAAATCTTTGTTGCTCAACAAAAAGATTTTTTCTGGTACAATGGATGCATCATGCATTATTTCATAGTTTGAAATTTCAGAATCACAAACATATCTATCAATCATTCTATCATAGGCTTTATCAAAGCTTTGTTCGAGATGATCTAAATGCTTATGTATAGAGGCAATGTGAAGATTAACCTGTTGGTCGATTTTATAGAGCCCAACCACCATTTGATGAATCTCCTCTATTATTTGGCGGAGAGAAGTACTGCTTCGCCTGGATTTGCGTTTGACTCCAAGGCTGACACCATTGCTCCAATAGCATTGTCTGAAGTCTATCCAACTTGGTCAATTTCAACAATGACCAACTGCTCCTCCTTCGCAAAACTTTGTGGAAGATCAACTTCTTGATGCCTCTGTCGCGAAGCCATACCAAACACACGTGTCCCACCAGGTGAGCCAATTTGTTTTAGGTGGAAAAAACGGTTGGTTGGGTTGCTCCTGACTTCTTATGAAGATGACGATTGTTACTACGGTCCACAACTCTTCAAACACTATTCGAACGAGGGTGTTTGGTGTATGGGGAATCTACATTACCTTACACTACTCCTATGGAGATTCCTTGAGAGCTCCGCGACTACAACTAAGACTACTACTATGAAGGATCCTTCATGGAGGAGAGCTCTGCAAACTACAGAGAAAAAGGGAAAAAAGGGACAGTTGAGACAAGTTGTCTTTGTGTTGAGTTGTGATTGTATGCCTTGCTCCAGGATCTTGCTTCAAATTTTGTTGCCAGGATTTGTCCAACTGCTCTCTCTCTCTCCTTCTCTCGAAAAAGTAGCTTTGCTTAGCCTCTACGCAAGTTAGTTGTCGCCAAGAAGTCTCTAGACACATCACCACATGATCCTATTTCAACATGGATGGTACCATCTAGCTAGTACTTGGGATGGTATCCATGATATGGGATGGTCACCATCCAATCAGTCCTTTGGATGTCCATGATATTTGGGATGGTACTGTCTACCATAGGGTTGGGATGGTAACCATGGTATGGGATGATCACCATCCACTTAGAGTTTGGATGGTGTCCACTATATGGGGATGGTCACTATCCAATTAGTCCTTTGAATGGTATCCATGATGTTTGGGATGGTACCATCCATCATAGGGTTTGGATGGTATCCATGTTGTTGGACACTACCATCCATAATAGGATTTGGATGGTATCCATGATGTTGAACACTACATCAATAATAGGATTTGGATGATATCCATGATGTTGGACACTACAATCCATAATAGGGTTTTGATTGGTATCCATTATGACGGATGGATGGTAACAGTGTTGTAGTTGGTACAACCACCATCTTGGATGGTTACCTTACGACAAGCTACTACCCGCCAGACAGATGGCACAACCATCCAATTTGGACCACCGGGTCCATATACGGGCCAACTGCTCAAGGTACCCAATTATTCATAAATACTACGTGTGATATTTAATAAATTTATTTTGGTGTAAACAGTACCAGAAGCTATACAAAGTCGGGAAGGTAGCCAATAGTGTTACATTGAATCCTCAAAGCCTCAGAGCACGTAAAGCAAATAACAAAAACTGTTAAAAAGCCATCTTCATATAGTTATTGACTCGCTATGACACAACTCCTAACAATGACCAAGTGTAACCAATGAAAGGAACTGCAGTATAGTGGCTCAAGCAATAAATATCGAATCAACGGGTCTCTATAGTTATTATTACTCAGCTTCAGTTCATTATCACGCAAACCATATTAAGACGGAAGAACTAAAACTACTCTAGCAAACTACAGTTAAAGTTAATCTAATTACAGGTTGGGAACTCATTTAGGTATGATTCCCCCTAGCCACTAGCCAGATTAATGATTGATGGTCTCTAACCTGTTTCACTTTCATTCACAATGCGAAGAATCCTTAACTAGACCTTGAGTCTCGACTAAAGGAACAAGGCACTCTTGAGTCAATTGCCTAGATGGAAGTATCCTTCTCTAGAACAACCGATCAAGGCATTCTGAACTAGATTCCCTCTATCGAATGAGGTTATCAGTCGATACAAAGCAGTGTATCAACCTTCGACTAAAAAAATTGATCCAATACTATCAATCTATGGTGCTCTATCGACCTAATAAGGTATTCGCTCTCATAGGATCAAAGTAGAATCAATAATCTCGACTAAAGCAAAATTGAATCATGAAAAACATGCATAGATTGAATATGAACTCAAGATTATCAAGTATGAGTACTCATACAATCATCAAATCAAACAAACATAGCTAGGGTTCCTCAAAACCTAAGTGAAGGGAAGTTACTCCATAGAGAAGAGAGAGACTGCAGTAAGAATTTTTAGATGATCAGTTTTTAAGTCCGGGCTTGTTCCTCGAGCTTCCAAGGCAAAGAAATCCTCCAATTCCACTTCAAGATTGCTCTCAAATCTCCCTCTATCTCTCTTTGGTTCGTCCCTTGGGTGTTTGGGATCCAAAACCCAGCCCTCCCCCTCCAAAAATGCACAAAACAGGCTTTTAATAGCCTGAGTTCGCGAAACCTGGTCCAAATACCCGGTCAGATGTTTAGAGGACCGGTCGTGTATCAACAAAATGCTCTGGGTCACTTTTCTGGGTAAAAAGGAAAATACCCGGTCGAGTATTTTGGGTACCCGGCTGGGTTTTTTTGGTTCACGACCGGGGGCCTTCTAATCCGGGTCCCCTGTCTTTGATTCTTCGTTTCTCCCTCGTTCGGACTCCAAATCAGGATCCTAGACGCTATTAGTCTCGTCCTCTTTCTTCTCATGACAAGATTACATGGTTCTATGGTTACAAAATGAGGTAGAAATCCATTTTTCTTCAAGTCAAACCCGAGTTTCTTCCCCCGAGTCTCCAATTGATCTCCGATTGACTTGAAACTTGCGCCTATACTTCACTTTATGAGCTAGGACATAAAATATGACCAAGGAACACAACCTAGCATAAAATAGGCCATAAAAGCGATAATGCAAGCTTAATCGATCAAAAAACAAAGGGGAAAACATGTGTAAATATCGAGTCATCAGTTATGGTATGGTATTCCCTTAAGTATGGTTTCAACTTTCATAGTTGGCGGTAAGGAAACCTCTAGTATTTTTCTCAAATCCCAAATCTATGAGCATGCTCTTCGTTTGAATACAAATTCTACTCAACACAAACTTCTCATTTCCAAACTCTGTATCGGACTTCCAGGTCTAAACTCCAACATCCAGCAGTAAAGAGTGTTAGAAGTTGTTGCCGAAGTTGGATTTCGAGTCAGCGTTGCTGAGAAGAAAGAAGAATGGCCCAAAATGAGACAATTGGCCAAATTATCTCATTTTACAATTGATCCATCCGAACGACCCTTCAGATTTAGCAATTTGCAATTTTAGAATGATGCTTGGCAATCCAGAAAAAGAACACTTCAACTATCTCAACCGGAAGAGAACTAATTCTCAGTTCAAAACTGCTGAAGCAGAAGACAACAGCTGCCATCAGTCAGGCCTCTAAGCTTTGCTCCCTCCAGTGCTAGATCAGTGGACAGACCATTAAACCGTCTCTAGGGACACTAATTTGATGATGATGGAACTCCCCACAACTTCACTTTCTTGTCCAAACTGGCCGTTGCCAACACCAACGTGTGTCTGTCACCTGTGGAAAAACAATACCAAAGTTTACGAAGTGGTCATAACCATCTCTTGACAGGACCAAACCTTGGTTTGTGTTGTAAATCAAAGCGGTGCGCTACTTACCAACTGGAACAGGCTTGGGCGACCATGCCGTCCAAGTGATATCACCTGCAGGAGATGGAACATTCCAAATTTGAGATTCTCAACTTACAAGAACTAGCATGCTTGTTGCGTATGCAAGGATGGCAAGAAAGAGAAGAGAGAATGAATTCAGCTACATGGTTTGCACGACATTTTCATAATCATCATCACTATCATAGTCTATAAAAATGGCTGACGAATCTAACAAATTAACAACTAGATATATGTGCTATTCTAATAGGAAAAGGATGTTGCTTACCATCATGGGCTTTTTCAGCTGTGTCCAAAACCTCTCCAGTTTCAACGGATAACCACTGCAATGTTGGACCATGCGTCGCTGCAAGTATCTTGCCATCTGGGGAGATATTTAAGTGCCTATACTGGACAGTAGCACCGTTTGAGTCGAGGGTTGTGATTGGGAACACCTTTAGGACCTTTGGATCCTCATCCATATGATACCGAACTGAAGAAAAAAAAACAGAAAAAGAAGAGGTCATCATGATTACAACAATTAGCAGACGTACATAACAAAGTGAAAGCTTGACTGGAACTAGAAACCTAGAAAGTTGCCACCAGCTAGAGAAACTCTTCTGATGTAAACAATGCCATTTTGTCAACAGGTATTTTCAGCGTGTTACATTGAAAATGCAGTGTCAAACAGCTCAAAATGAAACTTTCCTTCGCTGTGTATCAGTAAGGCCTGCTTTTAAAGACAGGTAAAGGTGCTTAAGTGTGACCTGAAGTCAACCAACTCAAATTTCCAGTTCAAAGCAAGAACATGAAGGACATGTTTCTCTAAAGGGCAATACCATTGATGTTCCAAATTCTAATCGAACCATCTTTTGATGCTGTGATTATTTTCTCTGAGCTGGGACAAAAACATAGCCAAGTCACTGCACTCTGAAGAACAAAGAGCCAGAACAAATAAAAAGTTACTAATGTGGCTGCATGTATTAGATCCAGAGAGATGAAAATGCTAATAAACCTATATGACATTACTTATATGGTATATAATAAACCACCTTGTGCCCTTTAAGCTGCATGGCATTTGTTACTTCCTTGACAGAGCCATCCCTTGCGTAGATGATCTCCCAAACCTAGTCAGCACCACAAAAAGCAAGAATATCAATCAAGCAATTAAGCTGAATCATAATATTGGGTCACACATTGTCTCTGCTAAGAAGTTAAATAGTTTGTGTAGCTGCTAGTTAATGATGTTGAAGATAACCAACTAGGCATAACATGGATAGAAACAGAGGCAAGCCTAGGTCAGGTTGCAGAAGAAGTCTGACAAGGAAAGAAAGTCGTATACAAAACATTTCAAGGGATGTTGAACATATTTTGCTTCATAAGGTGAAACAAGAATATTCTTACTAGGAAGCACAGAACAATAAGGCCTGAGTATTTCTTTCGAGACCCAAGCGCGACAAAGCATATTGGAACAACGTCTTGTTCCACAATGCGAACATAACAGAAGTTGATTAACACAAACGATTGAACACTCATGTAAATTCAGGTAAACTGTTAACCAATGGGCTAAGCAAGCGTCTAACTATATAGTCTCACCTTCACATCAGCAGTAAAAGCTGCAGCTGCAATAAAACGTCCATTTGGTGATATAGTAGCCATGGTGTTCTTAAGCTGGTTTGTATCAACCTCACCAAGAAGCTTTCCTGTTTTCCCATGCCAAAGTTTAATATCTGTGCCTGGAGGAAAGCAAAGCGAACCAAGGAATATCAAACGATATGTCTAGAAAGCAGAAGGTTCAATCTACTCTGTTGGTAAAAACACTTATCAGAAAAAAGGGAACATGGTAGTAAATAATTACACTACTAAGCTACCTCTGGAAAAACATTAGTATACAGTTCCCATTTTCTGGAGTTGTGTCGGTACTTCATCGTAACAGGAAAAAGAAATAAAGATGGACCCAGTGTCTTAACCAATCCACTTATGTGCCATAAGGGCCCAAGGATCAGCATTTACCTTCAGAACAAGATGCAACAATCGTACTTCCATCACCACTGCCATAAGTCGAAGCCGTTTCAACAAGGGTCACTACAGCTCTTGGACCATGAATGTTGTTATGTTTCCACTTGATCTCAGGAAGGGGAAGCTTGGGTTGCTGCTTAGAGTCATTTGAAGGCTTGGCCTTTTCTTCTCCATACATATATAGAGATGAACCACTCATAGCATGGGATGCAACCACCACAGAGGAAGAATCACCCGCGAATACTATTGCAGCAGGCTGACCACCAGGCGGTAAATTGATTCGCAGAAACCTGCACAAGGGTTCGGAACATCAACTGAAATTAAAGGTAGGGACATCAAGAATCTACCTGTAGACTAGAATGCAGGAAGAGAACAGAGGGAACATACTTCTGACTCTTACTTGAAGCATCATCCAACTTGAATACCCGAGCCGACCCATCTGTGCATGCTGTTTCCAGCACAAAAAGATGCCATTAGACATTTCTGATACAATAATGACCAGCCATATAGATCCCGTTCTCCGAGTCTAAGTTGCAAAAAATAAGAGGAACTCCAGAACAAGTATCAAGTAAATATCAAGTCAGATCACAAACACATCGACTCCAAAGTGCTGAACTTATAGCGAGCGTACCAGTGGCCAGGTGGCGTCCGTCAGGGGAGAAACACAACCCGGTGACAGAATCTCCATGGCCTTTCAGCGTATTCAAATCCAAAGGATGATGCCGCTTGTTTTGATCCTACAAATTTCCAGCATTAAAACAATCAGACAAGCTCGAACCACAGTTCTAAACAGCTGAATCATAGTCCTCGCCCATTGCATTCGTTCCAGAATTCAAGCTAAAAGTGAAAAAAAACAGGGCAACGGAGCACAACCCAGACATCCCCGACCACGAAAGAAACACAACATTACGGAAATCCTCCATTTCTGGTTTTGCTCAAATCATCCAGAAGTTAAACGTTGACAGGAAAAAAAATAAAAAGGGGGGAATCAGAGAGGTATACAACGCACCTTATCAGATACATGAGAATGGGAGTGGGGTTTAGAATGAGATTTCTTGGACTGGGGAGCCCTGGCGGGCTTCTTAGCGGGATCGGAATGAAGCTCGGGTTTAGCAAAGGTTCCGATTTCAGATTTGCGTTTGAGGGAGTAGCTTTTAAAGAAGAAGAAAGCGATGAGAGCTCCGAGAAGCACCGAGAGAAGTACGATGGGGAGAAGAGCGTCCATTTCCAGCAATAGGATCAGAAGCTGAGTCGCAGCCGATTGTGGAGAATCCGCTAACGGATTTCTTGTCAAATTGAAATTGGGACTCAAGACGAAAGAGAGACTGAGTGATGAACTGATGATTCTGATGTTGGCTACTATTGAATTGTAGAGATACTGCTGCTACTAGGGCTGATGGTTGAAAGAAAGGAAAGCCTTTGGGAAATTGGAAAGATAGTTTGCTGTGGCTGGAGCTGGACTTTTATTTTAACCAAAGGTCACTAGATCATTCGGTTCCTGCCATTTAGCTACACTTAGTACCTAGGCATGGCAATGGGTAGGTCGGGTACGGGTTTATCCTATACCAACTCCTAACCCGCCGGGTAGAGCTTTCTAAAATACCCAATCAAATAACCACCGGGTATGAAAATTATATAACCATACCCTACCCACCGGGTAACCACGGGTATTCGGGTAACCATGGGTACGAATCCTAAACTATGAACTTATACACATATATACACATACATACTGTTATCCATTAAAAATTCTCGATACTTCTTTATAAAAAAAAATTCTCAATACTTGTAACTGTTCGAGCGTCAACAATCTACACAAATAAAAATAGCAAACACATAATAATTGTTCTTACTTCTACAATCCACACAAACATAATAATCGTCTACATCTTCATCATCAATAATAGTAGATAAACTCAATTTCTCAAGCTAATCTAAATTTCTCAAGGGAAATTGACCCTTTGGTTAGCGGGGCGGGTATAACGGAGCGGGTATTATCGATTACCATACCCGTACCCTACCCTTTATTTTGAAACCGGGTATTACCCGTACCCGCCCCTTAACCCGTCAAAGCGGGTAATTACCCTCGTTGACCGGTTACGGTCGGGTAGGGTACCCATGGTTACGGGTTGGATTGACATCCCTACTTGTACCCTTTTTCGTACCTAATTCTCATGTATTATCTAAAGCACCTTAAAATCAGATCATGATCAAATAGGAATGAAATAGGCATGCAATCGACTCTATTCTAACAATTATGCACATGAATTAACACGAAACAATCCTAAATATGAAGGTAAATCACACCAATTTGGGTGTTATTAGTGTTGGTTGGTACCCTCACATGTAGGAGAAGCTATCAGGATCTATGACTCAACAATGCATCACAACAAGATAAAACACAAAAGAAAAAAAAGACAAGAGAGAAAATGTTAGAGTAACACTAAACAACCTTTTCAAAATAATGGACCGTAAGTCCTCGAAAATGGCGACAAAAACTTGACTCTTTCCGAATACCACGATTAAAATCCCAACTAGATCCCAAGTATGAACTATAACCGAGTGTAGGCTAGGCAAACAGTTTTAATTGTCAAACCCGGTCCGGTCCATGTACCCCTACTTCAATCGCTTAAGTTGTTATCTAGCAAATAATTTTTGGTTAAAACTAAAGAAACTACAAATAAAAACAAGCAAGCAAAGTAAAACGAGGTTGACTCAATAAGAGACGAATTCACCCGGGTATTGCTCCCGCTAGTCATATATAAAGATTAGTCGGAAAAAATGCCATGTGTGTGTAAGCTTCATTCTCTTGGTCGATGGGCCAAGGAATGTCAAATAAAGCTAACGAATTAGCTTTCTTGGCCAATCGACTAAGGGTTGCCATGGGGACTTCCTTAACCACCGTCTGGGCTCATTTGTCACGGCCTGGAGACTGTGACATTTGTATTCACTCCTTGTTGATGAGAATTTCCTTGAGAGGTGAGAATCTTCACTCCTCTAGCTTGAAGTGTGCCCAAATCTTCTTCTTCTCTCCTTATTGATAACTTTCTCTCTCTATATATTTTGAAGAAGAAGACATTTCTCTCACTAGGATATCCTCTTTGGGGTTTCTTCAGCTGGAACCCTAGAAGGGAACCCAAAAAATGTAAAACCAACCCAAGATCTAACCTCCTCTTCTCACTCCCAACAACCTTCTATTTATACAGCCCGACAATCACTTTCTCGGTCAGCACTTCTCGGCCGTGACATTGAACCACAAACCATGACATCAGAAAAAAACACAGGTCACTGGCACCGTTTTAGTTTGACATCACTGTCTCCTAGAGATTTTCACGGTCCGGTGATCGTGAAATCTTTAGGCCCGCGCAGTGCGCAAACCTTTATGGAAATTGTTATTGTCACGTTCTTGGATCATTTGTCACGGCCTGGACACCGTGACATTTGAATTCTGCCCGTGACATTTGACTGTTCTTCACTTTTTGGCGCTTTTCAACCTCTAATTGTCTTGAAACTCGTCCACAACCCTTCCACACGTGTTAGACCTGAAATGTAACAAAAACAACACACCCTAAAGTAAAATAGGCCGAGAGACGATGATCAACCAAGTCAAATACTCAAGAAACGAGGGGTAAATATGTGTAACTAGCCCTGAATAAGGAAATACTAAATTCTCCGACCGGGGAATCAAGAGTGGGACCGAGGATCACAAATAGAATGACCCCCCAGGCAGTTGTGTTAAATCCCCGATCCGGTTTCGCGGCTGACGGGTAAAACTTACCTTTTGTGTTTAGGACTCTTTTTCTTTTCGAGTTAAACTTACCTTTTATTAGTTGTATTTTTCTCGACCTATTTAAAGGGTTGTAAACACGAATTTAGGGCATATTTTAGACGTTGAATTCGCTTTGTGTTATTGATTTTTCAGTTTAACATGGTTCATCGAATTTTCTTTGTGTTATTGGTGGATTCCATAGCATAGAGTGTTGTTTCTGTATCAATCAAGTATCCCTTCATTGTGGTCGAGCTACTACGTTTATACTGTTCGATCCTCTTCCCAATTTTGAGTTGAAGTTCAATTCCGTCTTATCCTTTTACTTTTTCGTGTTGTTGAGAAAATTCCAAAAAACCCTAAACAGATTGTGGTTGCGCGACTTTGACAAATACGGTTGTCGTTATGTGCTCGTATCATTGGGTTTGCAAGATAAGGTGTGGAACTCGCTAAAGTGAGATTACTCCGCCTCCTCCTAGTATGCGCCTAGAAACCCATTGTCACCTCAGTCAAAGTTCACCTACTAAGGAATAAGCGCCAGTTCCTCTCAAATGGTTCAACCTATCATGCCCACTAAAACGGTGGATTGATGATGCTTGCATAATCTCTAGCAGGGTTTCAATTGCCTCGTCAACTAAAAGGAACCCTAAGATCATTCATCTAGCCTTAATCAACTAAGCGCTCCCAGTCTAACCCTAAAATTCTCACCTAGCTCTGTAGACTCAGTTGTAGGCTAGTAGAGAAGAGTTGGGAGACACAAGCTTCAGCATAATCAAGCATAAATCAGTGAAATAAACAAATCCATTCACAAACTCTAACACAATTATATCTACATTCAAAACCTAAATCTAGGGTTTGGGGGTTTTAATCCCTAGTACCTAAGAGGACTACTCCATAAAGGAGGGAAGAAAATACATGTAGAGAAAATGGAAGAAGACTTGAATTGGGGAGAGCTCTCTTCCTCGTTGACTCCTCCTTCTTCTCTTCTTCTCCTTCCTTTAGCTTCTCTCTCTATTTTCTCTCTCTCCAACCAGTAATTTCACAAATGATTTCAACTTCCCTAATGAGAGGGAGGAACCCCTTATTTATAGATTTTAAGGATTCGGGCAAGTTCACGACCGGAGAGGCAACGTTTATGGGCGTGAACATGGAGGATGAGGTTGGGATCTTGGGCCTGCCGTCTTGCATTTCGTTGGCTGAGTTAGCGGCTCGACTTCACGATTGCGATTCGTGAGTCGAGGTCACGATCTTTCGCGCAGCTCTGATATAGAAAGTCACGAGTCGATTGTCAAGACTTTATGTTTCTTCCTTGTTGGCTGCTCCAAAAGTTCACGCCTGAAGCCTCCTTCTTGCAACTGTGATCTTCGGTGTCGAGGCCACGATCTAGCTATCATGCTCGTCCTCTCTTCCTGACCATGATCCTCTTTCCTTTGGTCGTGATCTCTCGGTTTTCGTCCCTAACTCTACACTTGTGTACACTTTTGGTACCTAAAATATTCATATCACCTAACATACCCTAGACTACCAATATTTTCTTAGAGTAGCGAATCAAGGGCACAGAATGACTAAAAACAAATCTAAATATGGATTCCAAATAACACCAATTTGAATGTTATCAAAATGGTGGTTCTAATTGAACAAAAAGTATTGGAAACCATTTATTTGTGTATATAAATAGTAGAATATTATACAGAATATTTGTGGACTAAACTTATACTTCAATATTATTAATTCACTCACAATTCCCTAAACCTCGATTTAATTTCACTATAATCAATCGATACAAATGAGCAATTCATTATTCTAAAGTATTTCATCATGAGCTTAAACACAAGTCAATAAGAATGAGTTATTTATTACTATAATATGTACAGTGAATTAAATTTAATTTATACTTCAATATTATTAAATCACTCAGTTTCACTATAAGTATTCATCAATACAACTAAGCAACTCATTCTTCTAAGATAACTATCATGAGCATAAACACAAGTCAATAATAATTATTCATTTCTTACAATCACATAGTTAATTAATTATATATTTTGGTTAAGGGGGAACCATGAACTTTACTTATTTGAGAGGGGGGGGGGGGGTTTGAGGCCCATTGTGTTAAGGAAAGATAAACGGTATCATGTTTAAATTTATGGTATCATTAGTTTCGATTCAATATGGATTGGACGACAAAAAAAGTTTGATTTCGTTATTATAAAATTTATAATATTGGACCGTATCGGACGTATTGGGCCTATTTGCCCAATCCAAGCTTAGTCTATTGTACTTACTTGCCGGTTGAGGGTTTATACCCGGTTGTGTTTTGGTGATAGGGTATAAATAGGCTTCCTTCATCTCTTGTAAACCCTAAGAACACAAGAGCTGCAGCAACCATACTATCATAGTGAAGCTTCTTATTCGAGAGCCATGCTCTCCGTGGAGTAGTCCTAGCTATTTGCTGGGGAAACCACGTAATTCCTTGTGTCATTTATTTCCGCAATTCTCCGATTTTACATGGTATCAGAGCTGTGACGATCACATCACTCCTTTAGTACATCATGGTGGGCACAAACGATGGTTCCAAACCGCAGACCAGTGACAAAGGCCTCATGGGTGTGGCTGGCGATGGCGGTGATGAGATCCCGATCTCCTCACCTTTGTACCTTCATCCGTCGGAAGACCCGGC